CATGTACAGAGAAATACCTAAAGAATATTGTAACAGTGAAGTTGCTAGTATTTTAAGCAACTCTTCATTTCTTTTCATCATTATTACTTCTATGGAATGATAACAGGTCTATCTCACTATGATAACCAAAGCTTCAAATTATATGTAGGTATGTAAATTGCAAGATTAGTCAAGGCATCTGCCAAGAGTCAACACTAATTTGAACACCAAAAATATTTTTAAAAAACAACAACACTGATTATAGCTCAGAGGAGTGCAGGAAGAAGGAAACTCTAAATGAAGCTATAGGTATAAATAATGTAAATCTTTATTTAGCAGAATGCTTTCTCTCAGCTCATATCTTGCTTTCTGAGCGCATATCCTAGCATCCTTAAATAGTCCTTCCTCTGACTGTGTTTGAGGTTTTATCAGTTATTAGCAGCAGATATGAAAAACCTATTAGCATTCAAGAGCCGAAATATGCCCTTTTAATTGGTTAAAAATAAACATTTGGGGATTGCTTGGAGAATATTGTTTTGATGTCTCTTAAGAGCAGTTTACTTTTAAAACCTCATATTCCTAAATTGGTTCTAGTAATTCATCGTTTAAAAGAGAAATCTTCTCTTTGAAAAGAATTACTGAAAAATCTTTTGACAATAACAATTTTAACAAATTGATCACATTTCCTGAACACCCAGTCAGTTGTGCTTGTATCTTTGCTTTTTGAAGTCCATGATGATTGATAACAGAAGGTTACTGCAGTACCCTGTACTTGGAAAATTCAAAGTGGTAGAGCCAGATGTTACATCTGAATATCAACTATAGTTTTCTTGGTATCAAGAGGATTTATAATAAGTTAAGTCAGGGATCAAATAGTTTCCCTGATCAAACTCCAATGGGCTATATTGGTTGGCAAGAACTTCAGGTTTCCATTGACACATTTTTGTAATAGAAAAGAAAGTTGCTCAAAATGTAAGATTTGGAAATTACAATTAATCACAAGGCTTTGTGGGCCAAATTTCAGTGTCAACACAATTTCTTCAGTTTTGTTGAATTTCATCCATTACTTCTGAAATAAAAATGAAAACAATTTAATTTCTGGCAGTTTATGCCATATATCAAATGGGTCCTGAGGAATCCAAACCAAAAGACAAAGTGACTAATTCCTCAAGGTGTGCTGTAATTCCTAAGAAAGGTAGCATGTTTCAGAGTCCCTCTGCTACCACAAAATGGAATTGATTAAACATGGTGGCTCACATCCAGAAGTTCTTGCAAACTATGTTTAAGGGCCAATGCTAATCAGTGCCAAGTGAGTTTTTCCCCAAAGAGAAAATGTGTATCTGTTATATGAATGAATAATGCTTTAGGATAGAGTTTTATTTGCATGCATAAATCAAATTTATTGATCAAAATTATTTACCAAAATTATTGATATTCTTTTGTTTTGTGGTTAGGAAATTTAGGTACAAGGTTTCAACCAATTTCAAATGTTCAGCAGAATCCTATGACCGATTATGACCGAAATATGACAGATTAAGTCATATTTTATCACTCAGTTAAATGATTTTCATGAAATCTGATAACATGAAGAAATTTCCTGCCTCTTTATTTTCAGAAGAGATCATTTTAGAATACAAGCTCATTTATGACTTCTGAGTAACTAGCTTGGGGATTGCAATATAGTGGCAATTTTGAAGGGTCATTAATAAACCTGTACGAAGAAATACCAGGGGAATTGAATTTTCTACTTTTGAAAAATACTGGTGATTAGAAATTTTCAGAAAAATCTGATCTGCAAGCTATCTTTATTTATAAAGTAAATAAATCCTTCCTAATACAGATAGTTATAGAGGAAAACAAATGAACATAACATAAATTATTGTGAAGGATACTAGGATGATATAATGTGGTAAGAACTACAAAGTAGGTTAGTTATGGCCAGCTGAGAAATTTTGTGAGCATTTCCAAAATACATAACTATGTCAGCATCTCCATCTTCAGAAATACTGCTTGAAATCTTGCAGATTACCAGCCAGTTATGATAGCTCAAGGAACTCAACCTTTCCAGACCTGTTTTGAGAACATGATTGTCAGATGTCTCACAAAACATCTGCCACAGAAGGATTTTTTTTATTTTTATCTTATTTTGTGCCTTTATCTTATTTTGTGACAGGCCCAAGTCACACACATCTGGCTTTGTGCCAAAAATAGAACTCAGTTTTCTGGTTTCTATCTTGGGTCTTTAACCACTAGAAGCTGGTTCTGCTGGTGCAATTCACAAAAGATCTATATCTATAACAAAAAGAAACACCCTTTGGTGTAGCCACCTACCACTTTAATTTCTTAGGCTATCTTAGAGCTGATGGTGGAGCCCAGAGAAATATAGAGAATGGCAGATGATGTCAGTTGGTGATGCTTTGCAGCATACTAACTTCCTATTCATTTTATTTAATTAAAAGAATGTTAAAGTAAAATAGTTGGATAACAAAATCCTTTTACTGACACCAAACAACATGATCTTATTTGGTAGGTGCATTTTTGCCATAAGAACTAAGTTTGGGATGAGATGATAGATCCTTACCCTTATTCAGTATAAAGTAGCTATTAATAAATAATAATTATTTTCAAAATGTATATGCAATTCGAGGCATTGAAAAATAAAGCTTTTGGCAAATTGATGAGATTCTGATGTTTCCATTTTTATCTATTTAATTTTCTATTAATATGACCAATTTGTAGTTCTTCATGTTTTAAAGTACCATGATACAACTGAAGTAAAGTGATTTATATTACAATTAACATAAATAATATGAAAATGATTAAGCATTCTCAATCCTATGTCTTTAAATATGAGTGAGATTAATTAGAATGATTGGCCTTCCAAATAAACAGTTAAGGCTGATTATATGTTCACCTGGTTCATTTTTATAAATACTTGAATCAATTGGTTGTTGCACATTTAGAAGGCAACCATGGATGCTACTGTATATTATTAGTTAGCTATAAGATCAGCCGAGTTTGGTTAATGAGGTATTGCTTTAATTGCTATGAATTTCTTTAAATAGATTCTAATTAAGCAATTATAGATGAATTCTTGCCAACAATTATTGTAAGATCAATACCCTCATAATGAAAAGACTAATTATTTAAAAGGCTATTTCATTGAGTAAATATTAAAATTATTTATATTTATTTAACACACAATTACAATCTAACCCAATAAAGTCATACAGTAGAATTTTTTTCCTAATGACTTTTTAAGGTAATGATTCTTTACTACTTTATTATTTTTAAAAAATTAAATGGTTTGAAAATCCTAGCCATTGCCTAAAAGAAAAATATCTTTTATAATGACATGTTTGAATTAAAGTCTGAGGAAAAAAATCTTTCAAAGAAATATTTTTACATGACATTCTTGTGATGGTATTCATTTTCACGTTATTCCCTTATCCTATTCAGGTATTGTAATACTCGAACTTTGATTAAGCTTCATATCACCAGTGTAATTTAAATGATACGTTTTAATATAAATGCACAGGAAAGTTTTCTATATACAAATGAATGTGTATTGATTTCTTAGCAGGCTATCATCTTGCAGTACTGTGGTGAGTATTTGGATTTGGAGTATCTGAGTAGGATTATTAAATAATTACAAGTATTACAAATATTCTCATTCTTTTTTCCATGGACTATTTGCTGACGTTCCTTGGTTTCTTTACAACTGCTAAATTTTGGAAATTTGAGTGGTGAAAAATTAAGTATTAGATAGGTGAAGGTGAAGAGAATGGTAATTGCCCTTTAGGTCCTTCATTATTTTTTTCCCAATTGCTAGCAGCTGATTGGAGACAACCCGAATTGCCAGGTCTCAAGGTGTTATAACTGCACCCATGAGCAGTTATCAAGGCCTATCATTCCAGTTCGTGTTGAGTAGTTGAGTTGATAGCCTGAAATGGAAGACATCTCCTCCAGAGATAGCTGGCTGTCCCAATGCAGTCTGGCTTACCTTGGGTAAACCTTTCTCTGGTTTACCTTGGACTTGGCAATGCTTGTTCTTCCAGTCCACCTGGAAGTATATATCATGATATCAGAGGAATATGGAGTGGAAAGAGATCCAGGGCCAGCAGAAGGAGTTCAAAGTCAGTGAAATGAGAATCAGGACTAGCTGCTTTCTTCGGGGCTCTTTGCACAAATGAAATCAGTGTGCTATTGTGCACCTGGAAGATATGCACCAAACTGGCTGGGATCTGGGACCTCCATCAGATATTCAGAGGATAAAGCTGATTATATTTTCTGTCTGTCAATATAATTTGTTGTGAATTATTGACCAAACCACTTGTTGACTAATTCAGGTAATACCCTTGCATTTCACTTTGAATTCTACAAGGAAGAGAAGCAATGTAAAATGTAATGAATAAATTGGTAATAATAAATAGAGAAAAAATAGCACCATTTTTTCAATGCTCACAGCCTGATTCTAGAAGAGTGAACTATTATTTCATTCTTGTATGGATGTATTTATTTAGGACACCAAGCTTGATGACTCAGGAAGTTGTATTTTAAAAAAATGACCCAGTTAATTTTAGATGCTATTGTTGGAAGCATATCAATGAAAATTAATCAAGAGGTCATAAAAGAACCACAAGGATAAAGTGCAGAACACTGGTGGGTGGGAAAACTCTTGGCAATGGCCACTACAAAGGCTTTAATGAGAGGAAAATTCATTCTTAAGCAAATTAAAGAGAAGTGGGATGATTAAATGGTAAATAATGGTTATGTACTGTCTAAAAGACAGAACAAAAGAACATCTGAGAAGTAATATATTGTCAATTTGCTTTGTATATCAGTTTGTTTCTGAGAAACTCAATTTATCCTTTTGACGAAAACAAATAGAACTCAATAGGCCTGCAGTAGTGAAAATGGGTAGTTGGATTTATGGACAAAAGGATCTTGTCCACTTCCTCAGGTATTACTGAATCAAACTCAATCCTAAAATTCTCACAAGACAACTCTTTAGGACTTACCCAATCATGGTCCAATTCCAAGAAAATCTGAGTAACTTTATCTGCCACATGATTATTTCTCATTTGAGCCCTGGAGATGAGGTACAAGCCACCGTAATAAAGAGTGGAACATCCTAAAGATTATTGGCAAATGGAATAAGAATGGATAAATATCAATGTTTCATGATCCTCGCCACCATATGTGCCCAGATATGTTCAATGTATTGGCTCTTTGCCTTTCTCAGTTGTGCTCTGTATGTCACTTCTGGCATTTCATTTCCCAGAACTCATTAGAAAACCACAGAGCATATGGGATTAATGCAAGAAAGAGCTACAGAAGAGCAATCTACTACGGTCTCCATCATATGTTTACTCCAGGCTGCAGCCAAGGCCTTGGCCAAAGTGCCTAACTGGTCCTCAGAAAAAAACTGAAGTCCCTCTGGAATCCAACCACATCCATGAGTTGCCTACAACAGGGATCCCTAACCCCCGCACCTTGGTCCACTACTGGGCCTTGAGTGGCTTGGAACCAGTCTGTGTAAGTGGCGGGGAAGCACATGTATGCACACATCCCCACTTGCACAAGCAGTGGGCAATGTGTACACGTGCTCCATTTGCATGAGCAGTGGGTGCATGTGCCCACCACTTGCGCAAATGGAGATGTGTGTGCATGTGTGCTTGCCTACTGTTCATATAGAACAATCACCTCCCCCCCAAGTCCTCAAAACTGGAAAGGTTGGGGAATTCTGGCCTAGGACAGGACAGACTGCAGAAGTGGCTGCCCCAGAGAATTAAACAGAATCAAAGAGGAGCTATCCAGTGGTGAAATGCACTTACCTTTGCTACCGGTTCGCGAATGTGAGTGTGTGCGCCTCTTCTGTGCATGTGCAGAGCCTTCTGTGCATGTGAGAGGGTCAAAAATGGGACGTAATGATGTTCCGGTGGGTGGGTGGAGCCTCCCGCCACCGGTGCTACCGTTTCATGTGAGCCGGATAGATCCAGCCGGATTTCACCGCTGGAGCTATCCATAGCAATGGATTGATGGTAATGTTTTCAAAAAGCAGATCATGTTGCAACTGCCCCAAGATAAGAATCAGTTCTAGTCTGTGACTTCCTGAATAAATGGGACCTTTTATCATTTGGGACAGATCCATCCATCCAGAATCCATGAATTCCTGATCTCACTTACTCAACATCACCTGGTGACACGTTAAAGTTCCCAAAGACTCAATTTCAGCCCTAAGAGTTCACTGCTAACCGTGCAATGAAATAAACCAGTTCAAGTAGGGATAATGCTGGGCAGCAGGGATATATCTTATAAAAGATATAATTAGCTTTCATCAGCATACGTACTGAACTCCAAACTAGTACGCTGACCTCACCCAGCAGTTTCATGCAATTGTTGAACAGGAAGAGAGAAAGCATCAAACTGGCACTGAAGTGGATTTAGATAATCTACTTCCTCCAGAGTTCTCATCAGCTTCACAACCGAGTTATCCTGAGTAATTCCTGATATATTTTGTAGGAAGACTTTGCTTCTGTGCAAATATTTTAGAATAGCTCAGTCAAGTAAATGGAACTCCATTTTGTGAAGAAACAGTTGGAACTGAGTTGACAAATGTTGGCGCCCACCAAATTGTTGGTTCTAACAAATTGTCTATTTAAGGCTCAACTGAAATCTTGATTTTCCATTTAAAAAAAAGACTTTCCATTCCAAAATTTCCCCTGAATGGTTGCAGTTAACAGAAAATGCCACACAAGTATAAATCTTTCATACCACAGAAAAAAATGCCTCCTTTATAGCACATTCTGCCCAAAATGGAAATGGCTTGAGAAACCATGGTCACAACTGGCACAATAGTCCATGGTAACTTTTGGAAAGCCTGTCCCAAGATCTGTAGCTGGATTCTTGAGGTTTTATGTGATTCAGAAGGTGAAAACTAAAGGAATGCTCTTTCTGATTTCCATACCTTTTCTAAACCTAACTGGAGTAGGTTTTGGAAAGTTTATTATTCTGTGATAGAAGAGAACAGGGCCTCGTCTCTAAAGCTAGTGCCTCAATAATTGATTTTGCTTTGACTTTTCTTTTTTCCTTAATTATTTCTAGAATTTTATTTTCATTGTTCTGATGTTTGATCACTGCAGGGGATTTCCTTTAGGAAATTAATTTCTCTTGAAAATTCTTGGAATATGCAAGATCCAAATTTGTCCTAGGTTTTTCCATAATTCAGCTGCCATAGTGCTGTTGGCTAAAACATTGGCATTCCCTACAACAAAGTCAGTTGGATAACTGTGTATAATTAGGTTGACAAAAGTGTAATGATATTTTGTTGGCTGTAAGCATTAGTAACACAACAGTATTTGCAAATATACAAGTATTTTTCCCTATTGAGAAATTGGACTGCTAAGCGGTATGAGCATTGTCCTGGATTTTTTCTGAAATGGGAGTTTTCCAGAATTACTCTAGTTCCTGACCAGTTGCCAGGATTATGTGAAAATAGTTCCTCTGAGTGTAACCAGAGTGTATTTTCTTCATCGCTGATTATGCTTAGACCATTTCTGAAGAACAAGGGAACAAGGGCTTTCTCTTCAGATGCTATGATTTCCAGTAGACATGAATGCTGGCAGCTCTCCTTGTAAAATTAACATCTGGCATCATCTTCTGAGTTAACAGTCAATGTCCCATGCTGATATTTCCTGTAAGCCTCAAGGAGAGTGCTTCTGCAAAAAAAACAAAAAGCAAAAGAAAGAAAAAAGAAAGATCTGTGATTTACTTGCTGCTGAGGAATTCTTACACTTTTCACAGAGGAGATTTCTGTTGGATAAGATAAGGAACATATATTTGTGGCAGATGAGTAAAAAGAATATTCAGTTTTTTAAAATATTCTTTTTACTCATCTGCCACAAATATATGTTCCTTATCTCTTTTTTCATTAATGTCATTAGAACAATTATGTCAGATAATAGTCAGAGTATACCTCTGAAGAATTTCACAGGCTTCTACGCTGTGAGCTAATTGCAAAAGTGTAGTTGTCCCCATTATTGTACAGCAAATTCTTGTGGCACAAAAGCATAAAACATTTTGGCTTTAGTGCTATGCATTTACTTTGGATTCAGGCAATCCTTTGGTGTAGATATGCCCAAAATTATACTGTAAAGTTTTTGAATGCATGAATCTGTAGGTAGTTCTCCATTACAACTTAACCACCACAGATAACAAAACAACAGGTAATAAGATCTTGAAAAAATTACTTTATGGCTACACAAATGCATACCTATCATTTTACATATGCATATAATTCTATCCAAATACCCAAAAGTCCTCTCCAAACAGAATCACATGCTTCAAACTACAGATCTGAAGGACTTTATTGCAGATAGCAAGATATTGTTTGATATTGATTGATAACAAAACCAATGAATTGATTGCTAATAAAACTAGTTAATAAGGGTCACTTCTCTCAATATCTATCTCCAATTTCATGAAGTTTTCTTCGGTTAAAAAAAGCTTCTGTTTTTATACATTATTTTCTGGCTATTCGTAGATGTCATGGGTTGATGGTTCTGAATCCAAATTATTGTTTAAAAATGAAGGTGCTATCACTGGTTCATTCTTCATGTTTCCAATACATCCTAATATGCAGTGATTAGTTCATACAGATATTTCTAATATATTGATTTGCACATTTTATTGACATGGCAGGTTTTGGTCACCTCATCAAAGAGTTGTTGACACTGGCAGGTGGTCGCATGGTGCTAGCCCTGGAGGGAGGACATGATCTTACTGCCATCTGTGATGCATCAGAAGCTTGTCTAAATGTTTTACTGGGAAACGAGGTAACCAGCATATTCAAAGTTAATAAAACAATGTAAAATTCCTGGATATTTGTCATACTATGCTGGATTTATATTCTATTATAGAAATAGAGGTGAAGGTCAGTAGAATTACTTTGCCTTTGTAAGTACTTATAAAAACCATTTGTGGGGAAATTTAATATGGTGATAGTGGAAAACCTATTTCATCAGCTATTCATAGAATGAAAAGTCTAAGTATTTTTTTGAAAAATGATGCCTGTTTTTAACAGAAGTCATTGCTGCCTACATGGATCCAGCCCAACAGACAAAGATTAAGCAGTGTGTTATCCATCCATAAGACATTTTTTTCAGATATCTGATCTTCCAGTGATTAATTTCCTTTATTTAAATAAAGATATGCCAAGTCATTGCAGTTGAAAATGTCATTCCGTAGTGAGTAATGAATAGTAATAATTATTAATAGCTATTAATATTAATAGCTATTAATAACTAAGTAATAGCTACTTAGCTATTAACCACACAGTCAGCTAAAAAGCTGATTTCAGCCTATAGGATCAATAACAAAGTGCCAAAAGATAGGACTAAGTTCCAGTTTTCATAATTTGGAGATACAATTCTTTATAGGCTATTAATGTTGCAATTAGAACCTTTTTTGATGGAAACTCCATTTTCCAAATTGCACTCACTTTCGTTAAAAAAAAAAAAACCTGGCAAGGCCAGCACTGACTTCTCATGATAGCACATGCAACTGAACTCAAATTAGAAAGGTCAGAAAGGCACTCTGCAGTTTGTCAAATGTATTTATTCATGTGCTGAGTATTAGAATTCATAAACATGAATGCAGCAGGCTTTGAAATACTTTTGTATTGCTATTGTTGTTCTTGGCTTCTCTGTCCATGCAACAGTATGCTATTCCATCTACACAACTTTTCAGTAGATGCACACACACACACACACAGAAAGGTATGCAGATATATAGATATACATATGAAATAAGCCACTGTAAGCAAAACAGTTACTTCCAACATTCACAATGAGCAAATCAGGCTTGAAGATACTGAATAATTACAAAAAAAAGTGCTTCACAAGAATTTCCTTTTGAATCTTTGGAAGAAAACATCCCAGAAACAACAAAACATACATGTACAAATATAATTGATTTTTGCACAGAAAATAATCAGTTGAGAAGCTATGTTTTGCTCTACTTAGCTACTGCTATTCATTTTATGCAATAGTGAAAGATGGTTTATGATTTAAACATTTAAGGATATAATTATACAAATATAATTTTATTATGTGAAAAAACTCCAAAGGATAAAAAATTAAAATTACAGGTAGTTGTCAACTTACAACTATTCACAGTGACCAAAGATACAGTGGTATTGAAAAATGTGATTTTTCACATTTTTGCACTTATGACTATCACCGCATCCCCATAATCATGTGATTAAAATTTGGGTGCTTGGCAAACAGTACATTTAAAATGGTTGTAGCATCCTACGGTCATGTGTTACTAGTTTAGGACCTTTCCAACTGATGTCAGGCAAGCAACATCAATGGGGAAAGCCAGATTCACTTAACAACTGTGGTGATTTACTTAACAACTGTGATGATTTACTTAACGACCATAGCAAAAAATCATGAAATTGAGCGTAATTTACTTAACTACATAGTACCGTATTTTCCCCGAAAATAAGACCCTGTCTTATATTTTTTTGAACTCTGAAATAAGCGCTTGGCCTTATTGTCATGCGCTCAAAAGCCCGATTGGGCTTATTATCAGGGGATGTCTTATTTTGGGGGAAACAGAGTATTAGTATTAGCATTTAGACTTATATACCGCTTCACAGTACGTTACAGCCCCTTGGTAAGCAGTTTACAAAGTCAGCATCTTGCCCCCAACAATCTGGGTCCTCAGCTTAGCAATGGAAATTCTAGTTCCAACTGTGGTCATTAAGTCAACGTATACCTGTAATAGAGTATGAGGCCTATCACTGCATAACTTACAAATTAATTGAATGAATTTTTAACTGTGCTGCACTTAGTTATAAATTAAATCATGGAAAACAATGCAACCAGCTTCTCTTGATTGTCAGAGTTTTTGCACCTCAGATAAACCTTTCACAAACATTGTAAAGCCACTGTTTCTAGCATAAGCAGGTTTAAAACTTCCTCTGTTACATGAAAGTGCTCCCTCAACCTTCTGCTCCAGCCTACTCATAGGATCTCAGAACTATTTGCTTTTGAAATTCATCATGCTATAAAATAGTATCAGCTTCCAGTTCATCTCTGGCTGTTCTGGTTTGATGGATACCCTTTGAGTTGGCGTAGCCAAACCAATATCAGTTGTGTATTGTTTTTATTCATCCATTTAACATAATTTATGATCTTGTATTGTTACTTGATTACCATACGCTATCCATACATAGTGTAGTCCTTGCACACTCATTTGGATTAGCTCTTCTAAAATTTCAGGAAAGCAAGCAACAAAACAATCTACTTCTGGATTCTTTTTGTTTGATCAGTAGAAAAGACACAACAAGAACCAATTCTGTTGCCCTGGAATATTATGCCTCAGTTATAATGCATTTAACTTGGAAGGGAGTCCCATTAATTTCAATGTATTTGATTTCCAAGTATGTGTGCTTTGGACTACAGCCCAAATTTGGAAATTATACAGAAACCTAACTTGGATCTAAATCACACTTACTTGCATTCCTATGAAGCCAGTGGGACCAACTTCTAAATGTAAACTTTTAAGGTTACAGTATTACACTGAGAGTCAGTTTGCTTTTCCCCAAGAGTATTTATGTTAGTTTATCATCACTTTTTAAAGCTAGAAAGGAGATCAGCTGAGTCTGTATGGATGTCCAAAATCCCAGGTTTCCAGAAGTTTGAAGGCAAGGATGTTTGAAGTGGGAGAAGGACAATATCCATGGGTGCTGACTCCATTCCATATTATGTTAAGTGAAAAAGTCCAAGGTGGAATTGTTCATTGGTTTGATAAACTATGCTTAGAATATTGTCATACTATGGAATCCTGTGCAGATGATATTTCCAGTTGAAAGGATGCCATGCCAAATGTATAAAGGATCTCACTTCATATATTAACATCTGATGTGGAAATGTCAAGAGTGAAGCTGATTTGAACAGGGATTCTGGAGTACAGTAAGAGCAGACCTGGGCCTCCTTTGCTACTTCAGTTATATGACTGCTGAGTAGAGCTTGGGTGAAACCAAATTTGGCAGGAACTAGTGGTTTTTTCTCTTTAAAATCTCTTTCTAAACTTCCTTAGGGAGCCACTAAGAGGGATATTCTTTTGAGAAGTGTGAAAAGATTAAGCAGTTAGCTCCCTTCTGAAATCTGAAGTAAAAATACTGAATCCTTAATTGAGGTATTTGGGATAAGGAAGATTAAGCTACTTCAAGATATTCATGACGCACTCAGTTGGTGATTTGAAAGCAAATCCATTCATTATATAAGCAACTATCAAAACAAAGAGACCTGTTGTTCCAACTAATTAGAAGAAAAGCTTGAACTGCAAAGGATAAATTGTTTAGATGACTAATTGCTTGAGATAATAGCATGGGATCGGTATTTTAAAGGCAAGGATTTTTCCCCCTGATAATCTCTTACTTATTTTACCAGAAATTATAATTGAAGAAAAGTTTTTTGTGATTTGTAAATATAATAGCACTTGACTTGAACGGAACTTTTGCTAAAGAAAGCTGCAGTTAGGTTGACTTTTAAGTTCTCATCCTAAAGCTGATACTTAGGGCCAATCCTGCCATTAGATAAAATGAGACAAGCCACCTCTGACAGCTGTTTTGATGTCATGCAATTGAAGGAGCGGAACATGTGACAGTTATTAAATTTATTTTTGTGTTTTTCCTGCTAAAGAAAAGTAGAACATTAAATTTTCTCCCTCAGGTGCCAGAATAACTTGATTGCTTTTAGTCTTTTGAACCTTGACTTGGGGAGACAGGAAGGAAACACCTGCTGCCCAGAGGCTGCAGAATGCTGACCATGGTGAGACTCTAACTTTGCATCTTCAAGTTGCTGAATAAAGGCAGTGGAAGTGACACTGGAAAAAAATCCTCTAAAAGGAATAGATTTAATCCATGCAATTGAACCTTATATCTTCATAGAATTGAGAATGAATCAAATATCAACACACAGGGTACATGTACAGTAAGTGCAAGATCTCAAACCTCAGGGCAGGAATAATTTTTTTTTTTTTTGAGACATTGGAGCAGAAAAGTGCTGAGTCATGGACAAATGGACCCATTCTTTACAAAGTATTTTCTTCCCTCTCAAATTTCCTATTTTTATATAAAACTGGGCAACTGCATGATTGTGAGCTCACATTTCTTTATAAAGGCTCAGTAAACCTTGGCTCCCTTCACCCAGCGTGCTTATAGATGCCATTTCTTTGAAAATGCCTTTTCTCATACAGAACATACCCAAATTTAAAAGCAAATGCAAGAAAACATAGGAGAAGCCAAATGGGTTAGCTTCAACTGTTTAAAAAATATCTCTTGGTGTATCTTTTCAAGCATATCCGTCAACTGGTTCTGTTGCTCCTGCACTGACCTTAGTCAGTTGTTTATGTAAAATTCTTTTATAAAGATGTATTTCCACTCTTTCAGTTTTTGTGCTCTTTGGCTCCAGTGCTAATAGAATGCCAAGAAGCGTAGGAGTGAAGGTGATGTTGCAATGTCTGTCAGCTATAGAGTGATTCCTTTTGTTCACTGCTGGTTTCATGATATTTTCCACCCTCTTGTCTATTTAGTTTAATGATTTTAAAAAATGGATCATTGCCACCAGAAATTATTATCTGAAATACAGATTCTCTCCCTCTCAGAGAAAACATGATTTGTTACAATCCCTGGCGTTTTGGTTTTTTTTTTTTTTACAAGAAAAAACAAGAGTGCATCTGGGTCACAAAAGGTGAGAGTGTAATGATTCTACCTCTGGATTCTGATGAAGTTTTACTGAAATGGTGCAGAAGCTGACAGAGGAACTGAGGCCAAAGTTCTAAAATGAATTGTTAGCTATTTGCCAAAGCTGTTAAGGTGACACAAAGGGAGAATGATTAAATATATGACAATAATTATATTATTATTTACTGGATTTGCTCAGGTTCAATTTGCATTTCAGTTAAATTATAAATTATAACTATTATAAGGTAAAGGTTCCCTTTGCACATATGTGCTAATCGTTCCCAACTCTAGGGGCAGTGCTCATCTCCGTTTCAAAGCTGAAGAGCCAGGACTGTCCGAAGACGTCTCCCTGGTCATGTGGCCGGCATGACTAAATGCCAAAGGCGCATGGAATGCTGTTACTTTTCCACCAAAGGTGGTCCCTATTTTTCTACTAACATTTTTTACGTGCTTTCGAACTTCTAGATTGGCAGAAGCTGGAGCAAGTAACAGGAGCTCACCCCATTTCGCGGCACTAGGGATTCAAAAGACTGAATTACCGACCTTTCGATTGACAAGCTCAGTGTCTTAACCACTGAGCCACTGCGTCCCTTTTTAATATTAATATTAATAATAATTAATATTTAATAATATTTTAATTTTAATATTATTGGAACCACCAGTATGCAAATATGATCCACAGTAACATTAATTTTCCAAGCTGAATTTGCATTCCTGATGCTTTAGGAACTAACTGTATTAGCCTTTTGTTGAAGAGTTATCAACAATATGTCTCCTTTTTCAATAAATATATTCATTTGTTTAAAGCAATTATATTGCAATTATAACTCTATAAATAATGCCATTTCAATAAACCTATCATTTTTATTGAGAATGAATTATATCAATTGGGAATTTGAAAAATAAATATGTTAAAGCTAATATAAGGAAAATAATTATTTTAGTTAACATCCAGTCTCTAGAATTGGGGGCAGGGTGATTGAGATAACATTAAATATGATTACTGGAGTTTTATCTTCCCAATTTAAGTAGCTGCGAACACTGCAAATACCAAGCTCTCTTTAATTTTGTAAGTATTCTTTACTTACTTACTTACAAAATAATTGTACCACATTACAAAGTTGTGTAGTCAGATGACAAGCCTGTGTAAACAGTGACAAATTTCCTTAGTCTAAGTAAATACATCTACACATGCCAAATGGTTATACAGGAATATGAAGACAAATTTCAACATTATAAGCCATAACTGCACTGTTCATACAATACTATATTAATATAATACTATGTTTTACTCACAGGTATTGTGTAATGCACATCAAATTAATGTGTGAATTTTTCATTTTTTATTTTAGTCATATGAATTATGGAATGGATTTTGATATTGTATGATCTTTTCAATTCTAAAGCAGCTTCAGTAATGTTTTGTTTTGGTATACAGCTGCACATAGAAACAATGGAATTTGATTTGTGAGTAGCTTACTAAAATTACCGAAATAACTAACATTTTTAAATGACTATTATATAGACATGCACCTGCTCAAGAGTCTCTGTAAATTAGTCTTGCAGTCATTGAAAAGTCCCCTTGGAATTCAATTACATGGTTGAAGAATAGAAAGTAAAAACTCTTTCCCTCCATGGAACAGCAAGGAAGAGTTGCAACAAGTTACTGGTATCTCTCTGATTTACAGTTTCAGATCTTCAATATCTTCAATATTTTTAATGTGCTGTTGCTTCCACTGAATTTTCAGTATATTCATACCCTTTTCTATTTGATTTCTTCTATTTTTTTTTCAGTTGGAACCCATCTCTGAAGACATCCTTCATCAAACACCTAATGTGAATGCAATGGTTTCATTGCAAAAATCCACTGCAATTCATAGTAAGTTTGAGGGATTACTCATCCCAAAACTTTTAGTATTGCTATTATTAACCGAACTGCTTTTGTTCAGATGTTGGATATGTAAACAATCCATTTTTTCTGACAAGTCATAGCATAATAGCATTATATAGTCATTATATAATGCTATATTAATAGACGTTTCCAGATAGCTGGGCAACTGTTTCTATTGAAATACATGGATAAAAAATTGATTGTTTATGAAGACTTGGCTTTTCAAACAAATAGGTTGAGACTGATTCCGGGCTTTATTATTTACTACTAATTAATTATTTGGATTAAATTATGATTTTATTGTACTTGTTTCTTAACTTGTGTTCGCCGCCGAGAATGGCGGCATATAAATACATGTAATAAATAAATAAATTGTTTGTAGTTCAAAATATATTGAGGAACCTGATATTCCTAGATCCATGATAGGGTTCATTTTAGAGCCCATAATCTTTAGAGCTGGTGGCACATTTGAATTTTGAAGGAAAATTGAGGCAAATCAGAAAGCAACTAACACTGATTGCTCTTCAACATAGGCTACAATGTCATAATATATTTTCTACCCCATTCTAATTCACTTTTTTATTTTTCTGGCTATATCTACACTTACCAGCAATGAAATACAGCCGGATCTATCTGGCTCACGCGAACCGGTAGCGCCAGTAGCAGGAGGCTTTACCCACCTTCCAGGACATCATTATGTCCCACTTTTGACCCTCTGTGTATGTGCAGGAGGCTCTGCACATGCGCAGAAGAGGCACACATGAGCATATTGAGCGTAGTGACCACACGCTCACATTCACGAACCAGTAGCGAGGGTAAATGCATTTCACCGCTCTTACTTACCATTTGCATTCTCTAAAAATACATAATGGTCTTACAGTATGTCGGTTTCCAAAGTATTGCCGTAATATGTATAAAATTCTTAATATAGCTGTTTTTGGGACTTCCGGTGGCTGTGCGAAATGCCGACGGAGCTCCTTTTAGGAGTTCCAGCCCCATGACTCCGTATAGCCGCTAGAACAGTGAAAATCAGCTGTCTAGCGGCTTAAAAACTCTCCCCCAGGGAAAAGGGGGAGAGAAGAGCAGAAGGGTCTGGGTAGAGCTTTTTTTTTTTAAGCCTGGGGTTTGCAGGGTGAGAGCTCCCTGAAAGCCCTTCAGAGTTCTGGAGCCGGGACGAGTCTGCTTAAAAATAAGCAGACAGAAGCGTCACGACCACACCAGAAAAGCAACTAGAAAGATTATAAAGAATTTGGATTTTGGATTTTGGATGCTGGCAGAGTTAATCCAGAAGACTAAAAATGCAAGTATTGTATGTTAACTCTGTTTAAAAAGGGAAAGATGGCGCCTTAGGGCGTGAAAATGAAATTTATAAGTGAAAGTCCTTGTTAACATCAGTAACATTCTTAAAGCTACCGGGTTATTCAAGAAAAAGATTTAAAGTGGAAGTGGAATGGAAAAGACTGTGGTATTGATTTTAACTAACTTACATCCTTAATTTGCGTGGAAATAATTGGAGTTAATGACCTGACAGCCGAATTAATACAAACATAAAGAGACAATTGAAAAATGGCTGAAATTAAAGATGGATTATATGAGTCAGCAAATTTACAAGTAGTGACTGCGAAGGACTTAAAAGATTTTTAAAAATCTTTTACTGTTGAGATAAGACAGATAATTAAAAGAACTATTCAAGATTTTAAATTGGGGAATAATAATGACTTGCTGGCTGGAAAAGAGGAAGAAATTAATCAGGATAATGTGCCTTTGGAGGATAAAAGAGACATTGTTGGGACTAAAATGGAAACAGAGGTTCTGGAAGAGGCTTCCATTCAATTAATTGAGAAACAGCAAGAAGACTCTTTACTACCAGTTGATAAATATTTTGACAAGTTTTGGCTTTACAGACAGAATCAATATATAAGGAATGAACTGATGGACTACAAATACAGGAAGAATCAAAATGGGGGCTTCAAATTAAAGGAAACAACCCCAAGAAGAGAAGGCATTCCAAAGACACATCAACTACAATTTCAAACCCAAAATTTTTTGAAAATAAAAGCAGGGGGAGGAGCAATGCCAAAGAAGAAAGTATTATTGAAGAAGGACTGGAAAAAATATAGAAAGAAAGAAAGACTGGTCATATTTTGGAGATTGTCTCATGATGTTAAAAGATTTAATTAAAGTTGGATAACTTTCTGAATTTTATTGTAGTTTTAAAGTATTGAAGTTTAAAGGTGGATAACTTAAAATTTAATGGATAACTTTTTGAAAGTTTTGAAACTTATATTTTGGAGAATGTTCTGTTAATGTATTAAGAGATTTTAAAATGTTTAAAATAAGATTATGATTTTTTTCTTTTTTTTATATAAATGTGAAATGTGATAAGAGAATTTATAAAAGGAAGGTTGAAGTATAATTTTTAAAAGGGGAGTTAACAAGTGTGAGAGAGTTTTGAATTCTGTAATAGTTAGCATATTTTAGCTTATGTTTGTTAAATGCTATATCCTGTTTTTGCTCTGGGAAGTCGAGGGGGTGGGAATGGGGAAAGGGGAGGTTTGGGTGGGGATAAAATGAAGTATGATAATTGATTGTGTAGTGTTTGGTTGTTTGAATATAAAAAATAAAACTTTTGTTTTAAAAATTATACATATACATATACATATACATATACATATACATCATATATATATCTGTTTTTGTATGATGAATGTTGTGCAGGTAAATAATTCTAATGTTTTCAGCCATTTTGACAACTCTTCTATTTTTGCTGTTGTTGCTCTATTAGCTATGGTGTTAAATGTTAAAGATTTACTCCATGCACTCTGTATTTCATTGTTAAATCCCAATGTTTTTCACTTCTTTTTGACCTACACTATTATGCATTGCTATTAGCACATTCATAAGTTAAACTTTTAGTCATCAATTATTGTGATGTATGGAGTGTTATGTCCCAGATGTTGATCTATATAAATTCAGAAATCTTTAAAAAAAAATTACATGATCATTCTGGAGCTTTTTTTCAATGTTGCAGTCACACTAATATTTTATGACATTAGATTCTCATTTTTATATAAATCCCATTGTACCTTTTTTTGCCAGTGTTTATATCTTCTCTTATAATTTTTCCAGATAATTTTGATATAGTTTGTGAAGTGTTTCATCTTTCACTTTACATAATCTGTATTTGCTGTTGAATTTTGATTTTTATTCAGTTGTTCTAAGTGCTTGTTCTTGTGCTGCAAATATTTACCCTGCTGTTTCCTTCTTGATAGATCCAACATGAAGCCACTGTCCATATTTTGCCACTGTCCATATTTTCCTCAGTTTTTTTCAGATATTAACCGGAATTGCAAATGCTTATTTTTCCAATTTCTCATTTGCTGGTGTAACGGGGGAAAGGGTCATTGTTATTTATATATGTGTTATTTATGGTTTATATTAATTATGTATAATATAATAAATGTATTAGTATTACAATTTTAATGTAAATAATCTCTTAGAAAATAAAGGCAGGTGGATCAGGATTCCTGATGTGAAATGTTGTTCAGAAGAGTGATGATAACCTTGATATTGGAGTTTACAGACCCATGTTTGAATTATGTCAAGAATCTACTATCTTTTTGGATCAAGGGCTGCAGTTAGAGGAATTTAAATTATTTAAAATAAACAGATGAAAAAAAAGAGGAGGTGGAGTTGTACTATATATAAGAAATAATTACATTTCTACAAAAATAGAAGACAACAATGATAAAAGCTGTCTTGAATGCATTTGAGTCAATGTAAAAGGCAGGGGGATGACATTGCCATAGGACTATACTGTAGGTCACCCAACCAAACAGAGGAAATAGATTAACTTTTTGTTAGTCAGTTAACTAAGGTATGTAGGAAGCACATCACAATAGTAATGCAGGACTTTAACTACCCTGACATCAACTGAGAGACAAAGTCAGCACCAAACAGAAGATCAAACAGGTTCCTGACAAACCTAGCAAACAACTTTGTCTCCCAAAAAGTAGAGAAGGCAACTAGCGGATCAGCCATATTGGACTTAATTCTCACTAATAGAGAAGAAATCATAGAAGATGTTGAAGTGACAGGAACCTTGGAATATTGGAATTCAACATTATGTAAGCATAAGCAATAGAACAAAGTCAGACTAGAGTCTTGGACTTTAAGAGAGCTAATTTCAATAAACTTAGAGCTTGGAAAGGATTTCATGGATGAGAATCCTCAAGGGGAAAATTTGGGAAACTTTAAAAAGTGAGATTATATTTAAAAAAAAACTTGGGAAACTTTAAAAAGTGAGATTATAAAAGCATAGTCTAGCACAATACTATTGAAGAAAAAAAAAAACAGTTTCTCAAAAGAAACCAATATGGCTGTATAAAGAACTGTCTGATAAATTGAAAGATAAAAGGGACAAGTATAAAAAGTGGAAGAAGGGGCAGATAACTAAGGCAGAATATAAGCAATTAGCCTGTGTGTGCAAAGATGAAGTGGGGAAAGCTAAGACTCAAAATGAACTAAAGCTTGCAACAAAAGTAAAAAATAACAACAACAAAAGAAGCTTCTTTCAACATGTAAAAACAAGAAAAAAGTCAAGGAAACAATTGGTCCATTAGTGGGAGAAAGTGGAAAGAAAGTGACAAGCAACAGAGAGAAAGCAGAACTGCTTAACTCATTTTCTGCTTCCGTCTTTATACAAAAAGAAAATCACCCCAACCTATGAAAAACAGTATCATAAAAAACAGATTAGGAATATAAATTAAAATAGGTAAGAAAATGGTAAATGAGCACCAGTCTACCCTAAACGTGTTCAACTCAACAGACCAGATGAATTACACCCCAAGGTTCTGAAGGAACTGGAAAACATGATCTCAGAATCATTGAACTATATTTTTCAAAGATCCTGGAGCACCAGAGAACTACCAGAGGACTAGAAAAGAGCTTCAAAAAAAAACTTCAAAAAAAAAAAACTTCAAAAAAGG